GCATACAAGCAGTTGCTTCTTTACACAGCTTACCACTACAGGAATTTTTGTCTGGATGCATTATCTAGGGTGTGCTAACCAAACCTCACCTTCTCCAGGCCTGCAGTTATCACCATCCTGTCACTCGACTCTGTGATTATCTCATGGCAAAGTCCTTCTGTGTCCTTAGCAATGCTTGAGGCAGGTAACTGTGCTCTTAAAGTCCTTACACACGATTAAACCATGTCCCTAAACACCATACGTCCATGTTTTCTGAACACTTCCAATGACGGTGATTCCACCACTTCCCATGTTCCAATGTTTGATCACCCTTTCAGTGAAGAAGTTTTTCCCAACACCCAACCTAAACCTCCCCTGCCACAGCTTGACACCATTTCCTCTTGTCCTATAGCTTGTTGCCTGGGAAAAGAGACCACCCCCCCAACCTCCTTTCAGGTAATTATATAGAGCTATAAGGTCCCTCCTGAGCCTCCTTTCCTCCAGGCTAAACAATCCAGCTCCCTCAGCCATGCCTCATAAGACTTGTGCTCTAGACCCTTTACCAGCTTTGTTGTCCTTTTCTGGACACAATCCAGCAACTCGTATATGCTCTCACACACACATTTAGCTATATAGATACTATTCTGGAGACAGCACACCCGATGACTTCTGTTTCACTTGCATGTTGGCTCCTTAACATCCTTAATGGTTCAGAGTCCTTTAGTCCCAAACAGAGGTGCACAAGTCCCCTCTCTAGCCCTTGAACCTCATGAGTGTGTGCTGACCCACCAACACCGTACACCGTCTCACCAACACCATCAGCCTGGTGGAGGCAGGACAATGTTCAGTAGACCTCGTTCTCCACCTGGCTCTTGGAGGCCTAGGCAGGCTTATATTCAAGAGCAAATAAACAGAGGGCAAGACTTGTGTAAACTCATAAGCATGGAAGCCCCTTCTTGGCAGTTTCCTGTTTTAGCAAACAGTTTACTGCAAAATTAATTGCAACAGAATGTGCTCTAGAGCCTCTGGGTACAGATAAATGCCATTTTACTAGGGGTAGCAGAGAAGGTGCCTTCATTAAATCAAAATAAAACAATGCCTGATTATTGCAAGGGACAGTACACTAACAAATATAACTTAGCTACATCCTGGCCACTGAAACTGTAAGTAGTCCTTGAATATCATGATGTGTAAATCTCCAAGCATTCCATTTAAAGATGTCTTGTCTTGGACTGATCCTTTGCTATTGAAAAGCCAACCCAACCAACCAGCTGACTGAGTGCTTGGCAGTAGAGAGCACATATGCACTAAAGTGAAAAAAACAGTGAAAAAGGGAGAGAGAGAAAGAGAGAGAGAAAAGGAGACAGAGGAAATCTGTCAGAGCACTCTGGGAAACCCTCTTGGTAAGGCATTTGAATCAGCTTTTGAATATCAAATGTCATAAATTTTAATAGGCACAGCATGAGATGTAAAAGAAATGGTTGCTTTAAAACAAGATCTACAACCAACCACAGTTACAGTCCATTGTTACGGACTCTCTACCCTGGAAAAGAGACCAGAGAAAGCTGATCAGGGGTTTAGGGTAGAAAATTAGTGTGTCTACTTCACCAAAGTCACCATGCTTTACATGCAGAGAGGGTGTGGGCTTTTGTGCCATAGATGCTGCCCACAAGCTTGTTTGAGTATGCAGTGGCTGTGGATGAGGAAGACCCTGTTGAGTCCTGGAGGTTTTGCTACAATCTGCACACAGAGCAGTCAGAATTCATCTAGCTAGTATTTCTGTCATCCCACACCAAAAAAAGTGAGCAGGTGAAGAACATTCCCAGGCAACTTTTTTTTTCTTCTGAACAAGTTCTCTGCCAACTTGTGTAATAAAATACATGGGAAAGAAACATGATGAATAATACAAATTTTCCTTGCAGATTTCTTAAACCACTTCGATCACAGGTTCTCATCTTTATGGCTCCCAGTTGTTCTGCACCACTTGTCCCTTGTCCTGAAAAAGCATTTGCTAGAAAAGGCTGGAATTCATCTCACCCCCAATGGGTCGGTGTTCTTCCAGACAGGAGGGCAGAGGCAAATCCTGGCCATGAGAGCTTTTGCTGCTGGAGAGAAAACCACCTCCAGCCCCTGCAAATGTGCACAGAGATGAGCACAAAGGTGAATGCCTGAGTCAGCCTGGTCCTGTCATGTGGACTTCTGATGGCTGGACAGAAGGTTGCCATTAAACCTGCTCCCTGAAAGCAGAGCTTCTGAGTACATGTCTTGGGGTCCATGGCTAAACCTCACAGAGTCTCTACATTTGCTGGTGAGTGAGGAGACAGCATAAGACAAGCTCAGTTGCTGGGGCAGAGAGGTCAGTGCTACCCTGGCAAAGGTAAAACACAATCCAAGGTCTTTCCCACCTTTTCTTCTTGTGTCACGCAATACCTTTCTTCTGCACAGCAAATAATGCAAGCGAGTCTGCACACATCCTACACACTCCTGCATCCCCTAAGTGTTTTGCAGTGAATGAGGCAGGTAACCTTAACAGGAGCACACAGAACTTTGAAATCCAAGGCTGTATCATAGGACAGGTGAATCAGGGCACTTTTAAAGTTGTCTGTGCAATCTCGTTTCCAGCGTATCCAAATCCTAACTGCTTATTTGTCATCATTAGTAGTGACTTTGAGGGCATTAGGGAAATCTATGCCCCATAATGGAAATTGGCACTCCACTGTGTGACTTTTGCTGCCCACCTCGCTTGGCAGGAGCTTGCAAGGTTCTGGCAGATCTGAGCTGGGGCCACCTCCTCAGATGGGAGCTTGCTTTGGCTGCATAGAAGGACAAACTGCCCTTGAGCTGCTCATATGGGACCACCACTTTGTTGCCCTCTGGGAGGGATGTTGTAGTCTTTGCTGCAGTGTTGTCCCATGCGCGTGTCCCTCTGGTGTCCTCTAACACCGTGAATCCCTGCACGATGTTAACAAACCCTTCCCTCGTACAGGCTTTCTAGGCAGCTCTTCAGGGCTTCTCTCACTCGTAGCCAGAGAAATAAAACCCATCCATCTACTAACCTCTCCCCTCCCCCCAGCTGCCAGAATAAGCTTTTTCCAAGACATTCAGACAATCAGAAAGAATGTAATATTTGATGGCAAATAGCTCCACATAAGGTACAAAACAATTTTTGGAAAAACAGCTGATGAAATGTTACAGCCAAAGCTGTGAAAAAATAAACAGGATAGCAAGGAAAAGGACTTTTCTTGGTGGTGAAGCGTGATGAAGTGTCATTTTAGGAAGACACAGATATTTGCTTTAATATCAGTGGCAATGGGTCACCTGTCTATAAAAAGCATGTGATGAAAAATATCTGTTATTCACATCTCAGTCAAAATAAATTTAAATCTAGGCTGTAAATTCCTAGTTTGCTAAATATTCAGAAGTATTTTCCCATCTGTTCTGTAATAATTCAGCTATCTGGTTCCTATAAAGAATTTGGTCATCTGCCATTTGGGCAGAGAATAATTTTTTAAAATGCATTTAAGTCTCATGGTATCTGAAAGTCATACAATTATCAAGTTAATTAAATCAAGCTAGAGTTCCCCATCAAAATAATGTAATCTTTGACTCACGTTGGGGAAGTGTTTTTGACAGAGAGGGGTTCACTTCAGCTGGTCACACAGCGTACAAAGGAGCCTCACAGAAAACATCACTTCGGTGTATGAATCCTATAACGCAAATAAATAGCACCAGGCCAGATGCCACGGATACTGCAGCTCCTGGGTGCCAGCTCCTTCAACCTAAGCCACTGGGTTATAGGATGATGCCTCTTTACTTGCCATCACTCACCAAGAAATAGCAGCATCCCAGATTCCCTGCTGAAGGAGGAATGCTGTTGCCTCCTTTCTAAGTGCCTGGGGACAGAGAGGAGGAGTGTGTGGTACCCAGCTGGGGGAAAAGCTTCCTTTCGGAAGAAGAGGGGGACACAGCAATCAAGTGCTTGGCAATGTAGGTCCAAAGCACAGCATTACAACAGCATTTCAGGGAATGTGTCTCCCACTTCTCCTGTTTACAGATATGTGGTGGTTGGTGAAAGACTTTTTCACAAGTGGATGGGTACACTTGGGGTAGAACAGAACATACTGCCCAGCGTTGTTTTTGTCGAATTACAGATCAAATGTAAATGCAGGAGTAAGAAATGGGGGTCACCAGGACAAGCAGGGGCAGAAGGGATCATGTTTGATGAAACTCTGCATACAAAGTTTCATTGTGGTATTTGGCAAATCACTTAATCACCTCGAAGACTCAATTTCACCAGATCTCCAAAATATTATTATTCCAGACTTGGATGATTCTGACCTAAAGAGCCTACAAGTCATGCAGCTTTGCTGATAATAATTAAATTACTTGAAACGTAATTCAGCAATTCAGATGTTTCTGTCCTGGAGTTCTGTCCTAATACAGAAGTGAAAAATAGTAAGTATTTCCATATTTCACATTTTACAAAACACTAGGGAATTTGCCCCAGTCTTCCTCTGGACACGCAGCTCTATTTTGGACTACTATAACATTCCATGGTAATCCCAAAAGGGGCACCTGACTGCTGTCAGGTTGGCTTTACTTGGCTGCTGCTGTTACATCATTCACATTATCAAAGTGAAAGCTTTTCAAATATGAAACTGCAGCTGGAACTGTTTCTTAGTCATGCAAAGTCTGTTCTCAGCAAACACAACACTGAAACTTCAAAACGTGTCCCCATATCAGATATGGATAAAGTCGGGAAAGCATGGAAAAACATGGGAGAAGGCAGAAGATGAGGGTAAAACACTAAAGACTGAGGTACTGATGGTTGTTGGGTAGGTGTTGCACAGCAGGATGCCAAGGATTAGGGGATTCTGGAAACAGGATGCAGAGCAGTGGTTAAGAGGGCAGGTCTTGAAAGAAGAGAAGAGGCTGGATGGAGGTTAGAGGATAGGAGGAAGAAGTTCTGGCAGGAGATGAAAAGGGAAAGACAAGGATGAGGGTAGCTTGCTCTAGATAAAGCCCAAACCCAAGGAATTCAGCCAGCAGTACCATGCATGGGACCTTGTTGCCCTCCATGACAGGAGAGACCCAGGGAAGGGCAAAGCAACATCCGAGGCCAAGACCTTCTCTAGGAAAGGCTAGGTCAGCCTTGTGCATGCCATGATTGTTCTATTTGCTTTTCTGTCTTGACATCAGGAACTTAAGCAGCTATTATTTTCTGACAGTCAGCAAATTGCCCTCCTTGTGTAACAGTCTACATGTCTGTATCTGTGCCCAATAAAAACAAGGAACAGGGAGGGTAAACATGTACGGGCCCCCCAGTTGGCTGCGGACAGAGATGGAGAGATTAACAGAGCAATCTGCTGACCACAAGACCCCTCACTAACATAGCTAAGTTTCACTCTCTAGGATAAATTCTCCCCTCAGCATCACAGTCCCATTTTTGCTTGCTCTGAGGCATAACTGTGGTGCTGCTCCCACTGGTGCTGAGCCCACTTGCAGGTGAGACTCAGCTAACTGGCAGCATTGGAAGGGCTTAAGGTGCTCAGGGTTTCTGTCTTTCTTTAGCTCTACCTGCACACTGAGGTTGCGTTGAGAGCTGGGCATGATTATCCCATAGAGTGAAAAAACAAATAATCACTGAAATCTCGTTATTTTCTAAAATGTCCCTTTCTTACTTTTTGCTTTGGAAAGTAGCTTTTTTTTCCTCATTTCATTTCCACTCTCCTGTATTTGTTTCCTTTTCCATTCATTTTGTTCAATTTCTAATCACTGTTAGTGAGAGAGAAGATGAAAGTGACAAATGAGAGAGAAACCCTTCCCTGAAGGTGTGCAGCCATCTCACACAACACTGTGGGAGACGACTTATTTTCACACAACCCAAATTAAGATAACTTTAAACTTTAGAAAAATAGATTCCCTCTATTTTTTGCCAGCTCAGGTAGATGAGAAACCATCTTTTCTTCTTTTATGTTGCACTGCTCTGCCCCATGCTTGCACACCTTTGCCTCCATTCCTGCATTTCAACTGAAATTCCAGCAGAAAATATATTGAAAACCAGCAGGAGGCGGTGAAAATCACATATCTACCTTGTGTCCAGGTTTTCTCCCTCTCTTCTTTGGGATCTTCACAATGGGCAAAGCCCCAGCCGGTGCAGGGAAGAGGTTGTGAACAGCCACTTTGATGGGCGCTGATTGGAGCGGGGGCCGTCCTCTCTTCCTCCCCACCATTCTGGGGGACTGCATCTCCTCAACGGCCAGGCCGGAGTCCAGGCATGGCAGGTGGCTCATCTGCCCCAGGGAGAGAAAAAAAAGGGAAAAAAAAAAAGTGCTTTTAGTTTAGTTTTCATTTTAGGTTTTTCATCCAAAGGCAGTTTTCTCAATGCTGCTATTTTCCCTGTTACCATTTATCAAAAAGGAGCAAGAAATACACCACAGATGTGTGTTCCTGAGTGAGATTCACCTGACCACAGCTGGCTCAGCTTCTCCAAAGCTAAACAAACCCCTTATGATTCCTGTTTTCTCTCTGTTGACTATGAGTACAGTAGAGGGAGCTGGCTCAGATGCTGAGGTGCCTATTGCAGATGTCCAACAGGTAAACTCCACAATAAGCACCTTGATCTGCATCCTGCAGATAAGCATGATGAAGGCATGAGCTTGCAGCCATCAGTCACTGCCTGCTTTCAGAGGGGGTTTGGAGTAGATGACCCACTGAGGTCCCTGCCAACCTGATGTTTTTCCCCAAATTCTGTGGTTCTGCAAATCCTGCCTCACCTCAGAAGTACTACCAATGCCAAAATGGACTTCCCTCATCTTTATACACAGCACTCTTGAGAGGAAAGGCTGTACTGGACCATGAGGTCGCTGGCACAAGGTAGCCATGTTAGAGGAGAATTGCCAAACATTTACTCTTTGCACTTTTATAACATCTCTTATCATGCTGTTATTAGTGGGCTTTTGGATGTGCTCCATTAAAGCAGTTACTTCACCACCACTCCATGCAGCTGCTGGAGTTGAGCAAGAGTAACAGAGTGGAATCTGGTTAATTTTCCTCTGTCCAGATTTTAATAAAGAAAAAAAATATACAACCATACACAGAGTACCAAGGGAATATATGACATTCCTCAGAGCTTCTAGTAAGGGTCATATACTAACAAAGGTCAACAAAAAAACCCCAGCTGCTAAAATACGTTTTCAAATGTTGATTTGTCCAGGCATTTGATTTCCTGCTCGTGGGCAGAATACTAGTCCCAGTCCTGCCTGTATACCTCACTGGACATAAGGGTCTGAGCAATTCTCATGCTTTTATCATAAGCCTTGTGATGGTAAATATTTTCAATTTCATGCTCCCTCAGGCTAGTAATAATGGAAGACTCCCTGCCCTCCACTTTTACAAAGCAGGCTCATAGCCCTCTCAGCTACAGAGAAAAACCTAAAGATGTGGTCCAGGAGCATCTTCTAAGCTCAAAAAAATGCACAAAGGAAGTAAAGGTTTGTTTATTACTACATAAAACTACAATTTTTTAGAAAATCTAAAAAAATCAAATATACAAATTTTTCACTGCACTTCAAATTTCACAATTTCAGAATCCAGTGTGATTGGACTGATTGGAGCTGACATTTCTGGGAATGAAATTGGGTTTGCTTACCCACATAGTGGGAAGGGTACCACTAGATAAGGGACCCTAGTGACAAATATCTGTAGCTGGGAGCTTCTTTATTTCAAAGGCAAATATGTTTTGCCTAGTCAAAACTTTGTAAGTGTGACTGACTAAAAAGCAACTCACTTTGCTGGTCTTATCGTCTCAGTAGTTCATACAATTTGCTGTAGGATAAAAAAATAGAGGGCTCCCAGACATACCCTCCAGTAAACGCATTTATTTGCAATATATTAAAAATTGTGTGTTTTTAATAACACTAGAGGTATCTGCTCTGTTCAGACAGATCCATTCCATATGGTGGGACTTACAGATTGGACTATAAAATTTCCAGTCTTCAACATCACCTGCCTGAAACTCTCATGCAAATACTGAATGTCAAACATCAGATCAGAGCAAACCTGCAGTGCCTGATTTACCATATTGTCCAGTGTTGCTGTGGTTGCACTCACTCTCCAGTCATGCTCAGCCAGCTCAGGAACCCCCTGAAAGCCTGCTGTGGGGCTCTGATCTTTACCAAATAAAAACCTTGTGTGACTTCAGGGAGTATCCTTTCAGGGTTAAAAGCATCAGGCTTGACACAGCAGGAGTCAAATGGAAAGGCTCTGTCTATCCTGAACATCCTTCTGTCTTTAGCAGTGTGCATTTTCCTCCCTGTAATGCTTCTGAGGGACACCCTCGGTGTCTCTTCCATCTCCCAAAACAAAACATTCCCAGGAAGTTACATTACAGGCTATCTGCAAGGCGGGAGTTCGTCAGGGAAAGGAAATGCAACAATTACGCTGGATTTGGCACCAAAACCCACTGTGAAAGCCCAGTGCTTCAGGTTCTGCTTTTCAGTCTGCTTTAAACAAAGCCTGGCAAGATAAATCTTTTGTGGAGGAACTTGGCAGAGGCTGCAGAAGACAAGTCCAGCCCATGTTTGCTTCCTGCCTGGGGAAGGGAGTGCTTCCTGGAGAGTGGGCTGTTGGTGGCCATGAGGCTGTGAGACGAGGCCATGGACCTGCACTGAAGACCACACTGCATTGCCAGTATCGGATTCTCCTTTGGTGGTAAAGGTAGATGGTGTCACCTCAGAAACTCTTGAGAGTTACCAGCTCCCAAAACAAAAGAGCTACTGACCTAGAGCACTTCTTTGACTGAAATGTTGCTTTCTTTTGCAGTGGTGGAGTATTAAATATGTGATGGTCAGGAAATACACTAAATGTTAGTGATCACAGTTTTTTTGTCCTGCTCTTGACACTTATGACACAGTGCTTTGACACAAGACCCAACTGAACTGAGCATGGAAAGATCTCAGTGTAACATACTGGAATTGATACAGCAAAGACTTTAAGACAACTTCAATACATAAGCTGTTGTTATTACCCTTAATTACAAGTCCAGCTGCGACTTGATTCTCCTTTCTTGTTCCTAAGGGAAATGCAAGCACCTTTGGTGGCATTTACTGTCATGCTGTTGTAGATCCTGGAAGGCAAGGGGGTTTCCCAGCAGCAGGGGAGCACAGCAGACACTCAAGAACTGCCTCTGCCTGACAGTGGGCGATGACAGCACAACCTCTCATGACAGCCAGGAGGAAGCTCCTGGGCAGGCTGGAAAAACACACAGTCAGACTGCAGGATGGCCAGACAGGCCAGAGGCACACAAGGGCTTGCCTAACTGTCCCACAACAAAGTCAGTGCGTAACCTTGGAATGACTTTCCTAGGGCAGCTCTGACTGCTGCCACAGCCTGGGCTTGACCCACAGCTCAGTGCTGGAAAGCTTGATGGCTTCAAGGCAAGTTACGAGAGTTCGATGCAATTTATGGGCAAATTTAAGCAAGCAAATTACAGGCTACTAAAAAAGGCACCGCCTCAGTTCAGGAAATCACTGTAATACAAATAGCCCAGGAGAGCATTTTGGGAGGGAAATCAGTATACGTTTGCCCTGTCCTTGTACTTTTCCAAAGGCACTAGCTTTGGATTGCCAAGGATGGTGCAGCTTCATTCTGACCTGGGTCTGTCACTTTTGTATTCTTAGTTTAAAAATAACAGTAGGAAATCGCTTTGCATTTATGGCTTCTCATTACTTAGCGCAGAGCTAGGCACAGGGTAACCTCTCTTTACTTGTCTCCCAAACACTGTCATCTGGAAATATAATTTCCAACCCTGCTCTCCACATTGCCCCACCAAATCCCAGACAGGAGGCAGCAGGAAAACACCTCTCCTCACCTCAACACCCGTGCAAGCACTGCAGGAAGGATGAAGTCTCATCCCTTCTGTCAGCAGAGGTTTTCCTGGGACTTCAGAGAATCCTGAGGAGCACCCTGTCCCAGCTGGATGCCAGGTGCGGAGAGAAAACATGGCCTAAGCCAGCACTGGTGACCTGTAGGATGTTTCCAACAGCCCATGCTTTGCACCATCCATGCTTTGCACCATGTGTTGGTGTATATGCTGTATGATTAGGAGCACAGCTACTGACAACTACAGCTGAGAGCTACAGCTGAGAGCTACAGTGCACTTCCTCACAAGCTGAGTGGTTTTGATGGATTGCAAAGATCTGTTCTTAATAAAAATAAATGCCTGCAATAAATGCAGCTTTTAACCTGCATTCCAGTAACTGCAAGGGCTGAAGGTAAAAATACCACATTAAATTTTATATCAGTAGTTCCAGAGGATGATCATTTAAACTTGATTTATACCATGTCTCATGCAAACCTGAGCCTAGACTGGCACTGGGATGACACACAGGGAAGGAACAAGCTATTTTCATGCTGTAAGCCAAAGGAAGGTGCAGGAGTTCAGTCAGGTAGAAAACGTGCCTATTTCACAGCAGCTGAAGGAGGATGCCCTTCCCTCTCATTACAACCATTGTCCCCAGCTATCTCAGGACTCTGACCCAGAAGTCCCTGGCAGCATTTGAAGCCCCACCTCCAATTCTTGACTCCTGAAGAGATCTACATACCCAACAGCTGAATGTGTGAAAAATTATAAACTTCTTGTGATCTTGTGTGTCTTTTCTTCAGCTGTTGTTCAGGAAAGCACACTCATGGGGAAATATCACATTATTGAATGAGAAGGAGAGGATACTTTCCAGACAGTAACTCTTTCTCTGTGCACAGCAGGGCAGCCCTTTGACTGTGACCGCTCAGAGATGACGGTCGTCAGATTAGGTGAGCAAAATGAGAAACACTGTCAGGTCTGAAAGCCAAGCTTTATGCCTGTATACTGGTGTTGGGTTTCTTTATGCCTCTATACTTCTATCTTTATACCTCTATACATTTATTATTCAGGGACATGAGGCATTACATATCTCTCCATAATGAATACCAAAGCAGCACTGCATAGTGAATGAAAGATAAGTGTTTAGTGAAGCAGATAGTAGGAATTTTTGCTAATAAAAGCATTGAACCAATATTCTCTGCATGTCTGAATGTGATTGCCTAATGACCTTGCATGGTGAACACCCATCTCACCATTGCTCAAAGAAAGGTCAGAATAATTTTCATCTATGACATGAAGTTCTTCTACAGCGATTTGCAAAGCTCTTTTCTTGCCTGTTGCTCTGGGGATTGAAATGAGAAGCTGCCTCTCCGAAGGACTCTCTTA